TAGACCAGCTGCCATCGATTCAACTCCGACTCATGGCGACCTCATGTGTGTCAGAGTGGAACTGTGCTCCATAGGGTTTTCAATGGCTCATTTTTTGGAAGTAGATCACCAGGCCTTTCTTCCTAGGTGCCTCTGGGTGGACTCGAACCTCCAATACTTTGGTTAGCTGCCAAGCATGTTGATCCAGGGACTCCAATAGATAATCAAGAGTGGGCAAGTATTACTCTGAATAACTTCTAATGAGTCATGTTTTCTCTGAGGACAAGAATATAAACATCTTATCATTTCTCTATTAACTATAGATGTCTCTCAACGTGGTTGTATCTTCTTAAACCTCTCCCTGTTTTCCAGGTTTCATGGAATTCTGTTTATAAAAGAGAAAATCTGAAAACTTTTACCAGTGGCCAAGTCAACAGATTAGTAGACAAATGCAGTGAGGTCTGCTCTGATACACCAGTACAGAGGAAAGATTATCCAAATTTATCAGCCCCTTCAGAAGTTCAAAAAGTTATATGGCTACAGAGAGAGAGAAGCATTCTGTAAGTAGGAACCCCAGGTCTGATTTTGGACAGACTGATTTCTTGAGCCTGGGTTGCAGGAGCTATCTGAGGTCGACCAGTCACAAGGGAACCTAGACTGCGGTGTAGCAGCTCACCAGGGAAGATGGACAGGGGCCCATCAGGGTCCTAACCCCAGTTGGTCCATCCTTCCATCAAGACCATAACTCTGCTGTTGTTAGCCCAGCTTTGCATCTACTTGGTCCCTCTGGCAAACTTCACAATCAAGGCAAGTTCATCTATTTAATTCCATACCTTCTCTGTTTGGTCCCAGCATTCGGCCAATTTCTTTCCTTGGAGAAGATTTAGGGGTAAACACTGATTACATCACGTTTAATCTGCAGCTTAAGATGAATTCCACCACGAGCAGCATTAAACAATGAGAAGTGATGAGGTGTTTTCTTTTCATCACCTTCCTCTGGGGAATCCATTCTGCAGATTACTAACTGGGCTTCTTTGATTGATTTCTAGAAGTTACTGCTTTCTCCTTCTCACATCCTTTTCTCCGAATTATGAGTGAGGCTAAGGTCCAACACCCAGCTATAATTTACTTCACCTGGAATTTATATTACACTGCAGTTAAATGACTTTTAAGCATCTAACTTTTTCATTCTGAAGATATAGCTAGGTGCCGTAAGAAGAGATATTAGAGCTGTTTAATAATATTGCAGTTTGACACCATTTCAAGTTTTAAAGATCCGACTTTAAATCTGATATACATACAAAATAAAATAAGTACTTTCCAAATGTCCTGTCCATTCGGAAGTAGTTGAGTTGAGGCAGGAAAGAACAGAAAGGGAAAAAGAATAAGTCAATTTCCGGAACTTACCATTTGCAATCCTCAAAACTTACCCTGAGTCCATGTTTGGCAAGTGCCCCAAATGGTCCCTCTGCTCCACTTTTTTCCTTTCATTTGTGCCTTGATAAATGATGCTTTGGACTTAGCTTTGTGGTGTGGGCGTGCGATGCCTATAGCTTTTTTCCAGTTATGACTAATTTCTAAACCCCTGTATAGGGTTGAAATCAACTCAACAGCAAGGGTTTGGTTTGGTTTGGTATTGCACATGACTTTTACTCCTTCAGTTGTGGAAATCTCATCTAAAGGATGAGGAGGACCTTAGATAGCCCCTTCCCCAACCTTTTCCTTTTAAAGCTTTAAAAAAAAAAACCAACTGAATATAACGTGATTGCCTGTTTTAAAAGTGAGTTATCAGAACAGGTAAATAAGTAGCAAAGTCCTCAGAAGAAGGACATCTGTATGCTGCAGTGAGAGTTAAGGAGCTTTTTGTACAGAAAACTGAGAAGAGTCCATCTCCCACCACATCCAGTCACTAGAATTATAAGGACCGCTCCTTCTTTCTGCAGAAAGAAGTTGGATCCTTCCACAACTCAATCTGAGATGAATATGGGAGTGAACATTTTACAAAATATTACTTTATGACTTATTAACTCTGGGACGTATTACAATGAAACAAAGGAAGATGTGGATGGGGGGTGGACAGACCCATGAAAAATTAAAGTGGATTCTGCTATTAATTTAAATGCATGACTCGATGACTTCACAAGGTTTTCACTGGCCAGTTTTTTTCAGACGTAGACTGCCACGTCCTTCTTCCTAGTTTGTCTTAGTCTGGAAGCTCCGCTGAAACCTGTCCACCATGGTGACCCCGCTGGTATTTGAAGTATCGGTGGCATAGCTTCCAGCATCACAGCAACACAAAAGTCACCATAGTACAACAAACTGACAAACGCGAAAGCTGAGCAATGAATAAGGAAGACGACAGGAAGAATTGATGCCTTTGAATTATGGTGTTGATGAAGAATATTGAATATACCGTGGACTGCCAGAAGAACGAACAAATCTGTCTTGGAAGAAGTACAGCCAGGATGCTCCTTGGAAGCATAGATGGCAAGACCTGGTCTCACATACTTTGGACATGTTATCAGGAGGGATTAGCCCCTGGAGAAGAACATCATGCTTGGTAAAGTAGAGGGTCAGCGAAAAAGAGGAAGACCCTCAACAAGATGGATTGACACAGTGGCTGCAACAACGGGCTCAAGCATAACAACTATTGTGCGGATGGCGCAGGACCAGGCAGTGTTGTACACAGGATCGCTATGAGTTGGAGCAACTCGACGGCACCTCACAACAACAACTCAATAACTGCACCTAATGTAACTTCCAACTTATGAAAAATGGGGATAGTAATAAGTTTTGAGCAACAGAACATTATTTTTCTTCTAGGAATTATGTTTTATTCTTTCATTCATATTGCTTTAATATTCATACACATATTGTTATGATTTTTCAAATTATGAATCAGTCCATATGCATAATGTAAAATTTATAATTACAATTTTCAAGTCTATATGATATTTCCACTGAGATGCATATTCTATTTTAGAGTATTTCTGCATTTTTACATTTATTTGAGTAATTACAGAAACAGTATCACTAAAAGCATTGTATTCAAACAATATATTTGTTTCGGGATATTATATAACACAAAATAATTACATATTAATACAATATTTCTCCATTTATTTATTTGTATCACCGAGACAGGGTTTTTGCACAAACGACGGGCTTTATTTAAATAAAATTTACATAAAAGATGCATAGCCAATTTGTAGGAAAGCTCACATTTCTCTCCTTTTCAGATATATTTTTCATTTGACTATATATAATATATACCTTGGCATGGACTAAAATCCCACAGTTATTCAAGTAATATAACTAATACATTTGAATTACATTTTTAAAGTGTTAAAAAGAAAAATACAGTTGTTTAAGGTTCAATGAAAGTGCTTTCTCGTTTTCCTACTCTTTTCATGTCTTAACCTACTTCTCAGAGTTTGTTTTTAAGTTGAAGCAATCCTCTACTGATTGCTACAAATCAGTGGTTTATAGAATGCTCTGTTTTACATCTGCTGATGATAGAGTTCGGAATTATGACTAAGCCCCTCAAGATATGATATTGGGGTGTCAAAAGTAACCCTTTTTAAAGGCATGCCTCTGGGGACAGACTAGATATTCAGACAAAAAAAAAATAAAAAATCATCCTTCATTCTAGCCCAGTTTAATTTCCAAAAGACCCAACTGGCTGGACTTGCGTTGTCCGCTATGGTAGCCATGTGACCATTTAAGTTTAAATTAAATAAAATTACAAATTTAGTTCATCAGTTACACTAGCCACATTTCAAGTGCTCAAGAACCACATGTGTCTGGTGGCTACTGTATTGGACAGTGTAGATACAGAATATTTCCAACACCACAGAAAGTTCTAGACCATCTAGTAGTCAATTCAATTACAAACATATGCAAATGATGCATATCTTTCTTCCTTACTGACAAAAAGCTACCTGCTTAAGCTTATATTGAAAGCAATCAGTCACAATACTGTTTACTTCATCCCAAGACAATCATATAAAAATAGAGATATTTGTACAATTCCTCCAACTCATACATTGTGATAAGAGTCCAAAGGTCTGTAATAAATCTCATCTTTGCCAACGTAAACACAGTCTCATGGGTTCCCTCTGGGTTGCAGTATCTTAGTCACCAGTAGAGTTCTCCTGTGGTACCACAAGGAAGGCTTGCTAGGGATTCTTCATCACTGGGGACTAGTTATCCTCATTAATCTACATGGTCACCTCTGGGTGAAATTAGGAAGAGGGGGCCCAGAGGGCATTGCCCCGGCTCTTTGATCTAAGGTAGGTTCCAGGACCCTCAATGCACCCACTCAGAGCAGAATGGCCATCTACGTAGGCCATTCAAGGTTTCCTGTGGCCAGCCATGTCCATACTTCCTGGACCAGGGCTACCAGCACACCATCTGAGCATCTCATGTCCAATGCATGGGCAGACCTTCCAGCCCTTCTTACTACCTTCAAGGTCCAGCTTATACCTAAAGTCTCCACTGAGGGCTTCAAGGGGAGCCTTCACTTGCTAAAGCATAATTTAAAAACTTTAGAATTAGCAGGAAAATCATTCTTAGTAAAAGAAATAATTCATTAAAACTCTTTCAAAATAACAAAATAAAAAAACTCGCATCTGACTAGCCCAATATAAGTGCTCTTTTTACAACACCTTTATCCCTTGGTTTCTGAAAACAATGCAATCAGCTTCAAAATTTGGTATTCAAATTATAATTATTTAATATAATACGCTGTCTAAAATATTAAATGTGCACAGCTTGGAAAGAATTATGTTCCTATGAACCTGTAATTATCAACATATAAACCCATTGAACAGTTCTCTAGTCAAAGGAAGGAGGTATTCATATATGTGAAATTTGAAAATTAATTTTCCTAACAATGATGACTACCATTTCTAGACTTCGTCCTTAAGCACAAGCTATTATTCCTGTATGACATGACCCATAAGTAATAGTTTTATAGTGCTGCAGGATAGCAAGATTTTGCAGTCTTCCAACGGGTGATATCACAGTTGAAGGCTAAAAGATACTTTCGTGGTGTAGCTGGGAACATGTTCTGTAACAAAGGGGAAAAAAAATGTACTCAAACTCTAACCATCTTATTATACGATGTAAATACATGCCATGGCTTATGGTAACACGCAAATTATCGCCACTTCTTGTTTTAAGTGAAGAGATAATACGTTTATCACCATTAAGTGAGTGATCACAAGTGTGTAGTCAAGCTTTAGAAATATTTAGATCTGGGATAAAATTAACTCTTGTTTTTTGGCAAGCTTTCCCACACAAGCTAATAATCTACATTAGGATCACGGAAATTGCATGACTTTACAGTAATAAAAGTTGACAAGATAGAAATAGATGACCAAGGATTAGGGGCTACGGATGCCTGGTGGAAGGCAGTATGGTCTGTAAGAGAAGTCTGGACTATTCCTAAACAAGTACAATTTTAATAAGTAAACATTCTCTCAACCTTGTTCCTCCTGTCAGTTACTGCCTCCTCTCTCCCTTCACAGCCAAATTTTGTCAAAGGATAGTCTCTACCAATGGTTCTGTTCACATCAGCATCACCTGAGAACTTGTTAGAATGCAACATTCTCAGGCCCCACCCCAGGACCTGCTGAGTCTGAAAGGCTGTGGCAAGGCCTCCCTGTGATTCTGATGTTCACTTAGGGTTGAAGACCCCTGGGGGGCTTCACTAGCCCATCATTTCTTGAATCACAAGAGGTTATAGGCCCATGCGGACTGATCAAATCTACTTTTTTTCCTGATAGCCACAGAGCCTGTGAGTGACTCAGATACTAGTCTGATGAGGAAGTCTGATGGAAGGAGAGAAAAGAGGAAAGACACCATGAAGAAGAAAAGCAAACAAACACATTTTTAAAAAATCAAAACACATGCCCTGCCTTATATAGGTTGAACCATAAGACACTGTCATTTTTGTAGGTCAAAACCAGCCAGATATTGGCAATATCTGGTTCAACTTAATATGAATAGATGAAGGACAGAATTTTTACAATTATTCAGAAATGAGTGAATGAATTCAAAATCTAGCACCACTAAAGTTGACTTTTAAAAGCAAATTATTTTATTGCTGGCCACACAGATCCAAAACTTAAAACCTATTTTCTCTAATTCTTCTTGCATTTTTGCATAATAGCACTTAAATATAATTATGAATAAATGAATGAATAGAGCAAAGTTTTTTACACAAGGAAAATTAATACAGCCCAGAGATAGATTTTGGCAAATAAATGTTTCTGTATTTCAGATTCACTTTTAACATAAATTTCTAATTTATTTCATAATATTTAAGCATTCGAGATTAAAGATCATGAAATAGAGGTAACTGTATAGAAATTTTCTTGACTTAATTGAAATTTTAAAAATTTCCCAAATAAATGGAATTTTTTTTATTAATGTCATTGAAATCTTTAAATATCTGAATGTGACTAATCATCTTCAGAACCCCACTATCAAAGGACAAGTATGTTCACACGCATTATGTTTTCTGAGGGTGACTGAGGGAACCTGCCCACAGATACTCATCTTCAAGGGTGCCAACGCTACTTCCTTCCTAAATCCACAGACATGGGGTCTTTCTTTCTGTCAGGTTTGAAACTAGCCTATCAAAAAAAGAAAACCTCAAAAATGAAGTGATAACTCTCTGGCATACTCATACAGAGAAGAGGTGGTGGTTAGAAGAATAAAGACTGATTTATGCCTTTTTCCTGAGTATGTGCTTGTGACAGGAGGAAAAGGGCCCTACACCTTCCGGTACACCGTTAAAACCGAAAAAAAAAAAAAAAACAAACCCGTTGCTGTCGAGTCAATTCCAACTCATAGCAGTCCTATAGGACAGAGTAGAACTCTCCCATAGGGTTTCCAAGGAGCAGCTAGTGGATTTGAACGGCCAACCTTTTGGCTAGCAACCTAGCTCTTAAACACTGCACCACCAAGGCTCCAGTACACCATCAGGACCACCCAACTCCTTTGAAAATAGCCACTGGAATCTGGCTCGGAGAACAACACTTCCCATGCTTTCCTGAGGTACTTTGACTTCCTGTGCTCCTCCATATTATCACCACTCTATGGGCACCAAAACTACATGGATCTACTTACTCATCTGCCATCTTGTGTTTTCCCTTTCGTGAATTTTTTATACAGGTATACCTTAGTTTATATAAGAGATAAATTTTCAAAAGGTGAAATTAAATGGATTTATAAAAATTGAATCTTATTTTCCCATCAACTTAGAAAACTCTTTTGTAAATATTATTTTAGTTAAAAACTGATGCACAGTTGGCATTGCTACCCTCACTTTTTAAATATGTTTCCCAGCCTCTCTGTCAAATAGTTGATGACATATCCAACATTCAAGCGCACTAGGAAAATTTTATATTTTAAGTCAATGTGTCTTTTTTTGGCAAATGGAAGAATAATTTATAAAGTTAAGTAACTTTATAAAGTAACTTGTGCCCTAGCCAATTAACTTTTTATTAGTTTGATTTATATCAATATATCAATTTATATTAATTTGATTTATATCAATATGTATCAATAAATGAGCAAGTATGAATAAGTAGAACTCTATGTATTCATTTTAAATAATTTTAAGTAAGAGTAACTCACCTCTTTCTTTAACATCTTCAATATAGGCTTTCATAAATTCTTTATCAAAATGTTGGCGATCTTGTTCACTTTCCATCACTTCATCACCATCTTGACATTTTGTGTTATCAATAGGATTGTCCATAAGACTTACATATCTATTCAGGAAAATATTACAATTTTACTGTGCATTTTTTACTTCAAAATTCCTCACATAAAGAGGCTAATGGCCTCCATGAACAACTGCCTCCTTTGTGTGAGACCAGAAGAAATGGATGGTGCCCAGATACCAATACTGAATGTTTTGATCAAAGATTCTATAGAAGAACCTTGATCAAAAGGGGGAAAATGCAGAACAGAATTTAAAATTATCATGGAATCTAGATTTTCTGGAGCTGTAGAAACTGGATGAACCCCTGAAACTATTGTTTTAAGATAAGCTTTAAACTAAAAATATCCCCAGAAGTCTTCTCAAAACTAAACAATAGTTTAGCTTAACTAGTAAAGAATGTCTGTCTTGAGCTCTTTTAGGATCCATCTATATGGGATGAAATTCACAACAGCAACTCAAAAGATTAGAGAGGAAACTTGGTGGGCAATGAGTTTATGTTAATGAGGGAGGAACAATTCGGAAAAGGAGGGTGAGAACGGCTGCACAACTCAAAGAATCTAATCAATGTCACTGAACTGTGCATGTAGAAATTGTTGAATTGGTTTATGTTCTGCTGTGTATATTATCAAAAACAACAACAGAAATAAAATAAATTTAAAAATAATTTTCTCGCATAAGAATCAACCTTGTGGTACTAAATCTCAAGTTCTCACTTATCCGTGAAATCACAGTTGACCATCTAATATTAGTATCATTAGTAGAATTCTACGGTAGAGTAGTCCAGTAGCATTATGGAGTCAGTTTTAAGGCAGAGACAGTTCTGAGCCTTAATGAGGAAGTGAGAACTACTTAGCCATGGACCAAGGGCTGGAAGCCTTGAAGTGGACAATACGCGCTTTTTCTCACAGTCAGAGCCTTAAAATTGCATGATGTCTGGTTACGTTTGATATTACTTCCAATTACTAATATCAAACTTTAAAAGGATGTGGCTAAATTAAAAAGAACTCAGAGAAAATCCTCACAAGAAAAGGTATTTAAAAGATGGACTATTGCTACAAAAAAAAGAATCTAAAGGAGACAAACTAAAGTGGCGCTTGATCTTCCATCCTCACAATTTTCAGAAAGGTTTCCATGTGAAAGATGATAGCTATTTCAATTCAAAATAGGAAATCCTTTGAATAGTCTTTGGTTGCAGCTGTAGGCCCTGCTGTCTTGGGGTGCTAGGGGGCACTTACCACTAAGAGAATTTGGACTCTCAGGGAAATATTTCCTCTGGTGGATTCAACTAGCAGCTGGTGTTGAAGGGAGATGGGTCTCTGGACAGTGAGGAAATGGCTCTCACTACAGTTGCCTTGTGGGAAGGTTCCTGGGGAGGCTCCAAGCTGCTGGGGATGAGCCAAAATGGCCTCAGGGTAGAGGTGATGGGAGAACCTCAAAGCCTCAAATTCTGGCAAGATGTGCTATCAGGGAGCACTCACTCAGCTTCAGGGGAGGTGGAGTGGAGCTGGAGCTTTCAATTCCACCTCAGAAGAAGACTATTTCATTTCTCTTCCCAAACTGGAGTCTGTTTGTGTTCCATTTGCATGGATGGTTTTTCTTAGTTTTGGGTGATTTCTGGCTTCTTTTAAGGAAACCCCAGTAAGGGTTAGGCAACTTGGTGGATTCATTCACCAGCCACCGACCCCTCCAGTCCAGTCTTTAGGTCACTCAAGGTGATGTGAGTGCTGAGTGAGACAGATAAGGGACCCCAGGAATATGTCCCACTGTGCCTCCAATCAACCAACCAGTTGCTGTCAAGTCCATTCTGACTCATGGCAACCCCATGTGTTTCAGAGCAGAAATGCCCTCCACAGGGCTGTGACCTTTCTGAAGCAGATCACCAGGTCTTTCTTCCAAGGCACCTGTGAGGGTTTGAATCTCCAGCCTATTTTGGTTAGCAGCCCCGCACTTAACAGTTTGTACCACCAGGGACTTCTGCACCTTCAACCAGCAAATAGTATTTGTCCAGAAATCCCCTGAGCTCTCCCTTCCCGTGCCATTTACCAAAAATTTCAAAATCCTGTAGAAAGTTCCTCAGAATTGCTGTGAACCAGAATTAGATGCTCAGAATAAGAGCCTCATCTAATCTGGTTCCTGAGGCAGTTGTGCTGACGCCAGATGCTCCTCCGTCCTTACCTCATGTCAGAACATGTCTCTACTAGGATCGCTGGTCTACTCACTTTACAGGTGTGGATGCGTCACAAAGGGCAGTTGGGACCTCCACCAAATGGTCCCCACTGACGACTATCAAGATGAGCTTCTTTAGGTTCAGCAAGGTGTAAGGAAGATAGGTCAGCTTGTTTTTATACAAGAGTAAGGTTTCCAATTCTTCTAGCCTAAGAAGAAGTAAAAGGGAACGGAAGAACTTAGCATCACAACAAAGAAAACTGACTTGAATTACAAATAAATTCTAGTAGGATATCCCTACTTATCTTATTTCATATATGTGATCCTTATAAGAATAAACTCATTTTAAAATTTGAGTAAATGGATAATAAATTCATGCCAGATGACATGATTTTTTTTTCCAGTTTTTACTGACTGCAACTGCTTATAAAGACAGAGACACAGCAGCAGGACAAGTAAATGGCACAATACACACGCAGTAGACCAGGATGAGAGGGACTGGTTCAGTGACAGAATTCTCCCCTTCCGTGCTGGAGCCCCAGGTTCAGTTCCAGGTCAATGCACCTCACATGCAGCCACCACCCATCTGTCCCTGGAGGCTTGCATGTTGCTATGATGCTGAACAGGCCTCAGCAGAGCTTCCAGACTAAAATGGACTAGGAGGAAAGGCCTGGTGATCTACTTCAGAAAATCACTCAGTGCAAACCCTATGGCACGCAGCGGTCCAACTGTTGTGCACGGGGTCACCGTGAGGCAGGGGCCCTATTCAATGGCAGCCAACAACAGACCCCGATCGGGCCTCAAAACAAACAGCAACAACAAAAAACCCATTCCTGTCGAGTCAATTCCGACTCATAGCAACTCTATAGGACAGAGTAGAACTGCCCGCATAGGGTTTCCAAGGAGCAGCTGGTGGACTTGAACTGCTGACCTTTTGGTGAGCAGCCAAGCGCTTAACCACTGCGCCACCAGGGCTCTGGGGCCTCAAAGCTGGCCCTCAATCCAAGTGTCTCCCACATGCCCAAAGGTTAATAGCGCACTGGAAAGAAAGAATACTAGAGCTGGAGGGCAAATGAACAGATTTGGGCAACATATTTCCTTTTGTACATTTTGAAACATTTTCTAACTTTAAAAATAGGAAGAAACATGCAGAGTAAAAAGGAAATGAACAAAAAATGCTCCGGGTATGTTTTACTCTGCTTTCCATTTTCTTCTAACTCAGTCATCACCCTTTCAGTTTTTCTATTTCATTCATTTGCCAAATCTTGACTGACCCCAGCAACAGCTCACAAAGTTCCTCATGTGTTTCAAACCGAAGCAATTCCCTCTTAGTCTGATAAACCCAGAAAGCATCAACACACATCACGTCTGTCAGGCAGCATTCAGGCCTAAGCCATTTTTGGCCTCTGCGCCATGATAGTTTACTTATGCTACTTTATGGAGCAGATTGTGGATTCTAGAAGGCTAGAGATATTGTTTCATTCACCACTTTAAACCCAGCCCACTCACCAGCCTGCCATAGATACAGGAGCCTAATAATATTTGTGGAATGAATGAATGAATGAATCTTACATGATTCAGTGCAATAATTACTTAAACATGAAATAACTGCAAAGACATAATTTGAAAACCTCTCTAAGCATATCAGTTTTGTTTTAAAGATCGTGTATAAATCAATAGACAAAACTAATAAAGATTTCCCTCACTGATATTCTAAACGTAGAGTGATGTATTTCTCTTCTATGTGTAATAAATTTACTTTTCTACTTCTATAAAGTCAACGGCGTCATGCTACTAAAGACGGAACAAATTAAAGTTCGCCAAGACAACGAAAGATGGTTGAAATGAACGTATCTGTGCATATGCATGGTGCAGACTAGAAGTGATCCTATTCTAAACAAAGCCAAACTAACATTCTGGAAACAACAAACTCCTGAAAATTAAGGATAGTTGGTTTCAAAGAGCACTCACACGTTATGCATGTTTAAAACGTTAGCAGTGCTTAAGGCGTTAGTAACTAATTCATGTACCTCACCATTAGAAGGCAAGTAGCTACCTGTCTATATCTTGTGGCAGGTCATCCAGGTTATTGTTGCTGACATCCAGCCACTGCAAATCAGACATCCGCAGGACACAGATCGGGACACTGGAAAACTTGTTTGCTGAGATATCTACAAATGTAACTCGCTTCAAATTACTTAACTAGAAGGGAAGAGCAAAGAATTCTAATTACTTCTTTGAGAGTGGGTATTAAGTTCTACTAATAATTTTTAGACTGATGTTTCTTCCCTCAAAGAGGGCATTTCTATGACTATATGCAAAATAGTCAAAATAGTATGTATTTTCCAGCAGCTACTATGTGCCATTCATTATGCTACATGCTAGGGATGCTAGGGTAAACAGTACTCTGTGGCTGCCCTCGAGGAGTTTATACTTTCAGAAATACGCAATGCAATTTTTATGTAGTAAGAACCAATGTGAAGACATTTTCAATGGACGATGTTAGGTAACACCCAGAAGAAGTGACTAACCTGCCTAGCAGTAGTGGGGTGAGAGTCAGGGGTTGGGGAAGATTTCACATAGAACGGAATGTTTGAATTGGGTCCTGTGGTTACTCGACAGGTGAAAAGGAAAACAAGGACACCCCAGGAGGGGGAACAGCATGTGCAAAGTCACAGAAGACAGGAAGCACAAGTTTTGAAGGTTATAAATAAGGAGCCCTGGTGGTACAGTGGTTATGCACTTGGCTGCTAACCAAAAGATCAGTGGTTCAAACCCACCAGCTGTTCCGTGGGAGAAAGATGTGGCAGTGTGCCTCTGTAAAGATTACAGCCGTGGAAACCGTATGGGGCAGTTCTACTCTGTCTTACAGGGTTGCTATGAGTCAGAATCAACTTGATAGCAATGGGCTTTATTATCTATGAGTTTTCAAAAATCTTAGGAAGACACACATTTGGGTTTGTGAGTGACATGACAAACGACCAGACATCTCTATAGTTTACGCTTTACGTCCATAATTTTTGTTTTTAACTTGATAACTGAAATATGTGGAGAAATATATTTTGATCTCAAACGTAAATCTATAAATATCAAATAAAGTAGGATAAGTGTCTCATGCTTGGGGTCAGATATGTAAACTGATAGTTATGATTGAAATACAGGAGGAGATTTTAACTGCTACCTTTTATGGACTTATTTTAATATTCTGTGAATAAAATCTGAGATGCTTCTCAAAACTACATTTTTAAAACTGTTATGAAATATGGAGCCAGTTGGAATAAGGTACTACTAAAATGAAGAAAAAAAAGAAGTAGACTCATGTTTCTGTTTACCCAATCCCGTATCTATAAAACCCAATTCCATATTGCCAAATTTGCTTTAATGAGACACAGGCAAAATTCATCTTATTGAATGGGCACATTCTAATTTTGCTCTTATTTTGAATTTAGAAAAATGAGTATGAAGACAGTCATGTGACAGTGAATAACCCATCAAGAGAGACGTTCTGGATGCTCATAATTCAATCTAAAGTTTCTAACTGTGTCTCCAGGGTTATCAGACCATCAGGAAAATCAAGACTAAATTACAACCAGTCTCTTTTCTTCCTTCTTTCCTAGCGGGACTGTGAGATCTTATCTCCCTTCAGCACAAGAAGCTTGTTGGGCTTTATTTGGCAGTAAAAAATTGCTCACTTTTATCTACTTCGTTTTGTCAGAAAATGATTTAAAATCTTTTCTCCAATTAATACGGATCCAAAAAATGTCTAACAAATATTTTTAAATTGATGGATTTCTTAACTCTTACCTGTAGGACTACAGGTAAGTCATCTACAAGTTCTGTTATAAAACCAAAACCAAATTTTTATCCCACTTATTTATTTAGAACTTCACCATTGCAGATAATCAGGATCTGCACTATAGACAATAAGCATTGCACATTAATAAGCGTTAAATAAAAATGTCTTGCATGAAAATAGGATGTTTTGCCTAATTTTCCTTTGCTAGTATTTCTCAATTTAAATTCAGTCCCTAGCCTAGTATAAAAACATTTCTTAAAGATCTTGTAATAGCTAGTATAAAAAAAAAAAAGAAAAGGAAACCCACTGCCATCAAGTCCATTCTGACTCATAGCAACTGTATACAACAGAGTAGAACTGTCCCATAGGGCTTCCAAGGAGTGGCTGGTAAATTCAAAGTGCCGACTTTTTGGTTAGCAGCCAGGCTGTTAACCACTGCGCCACCAGGGCTCCAATAGCTGGTATAGGATAATTAAAATAATCACCAAAATAATATAATATACTGAAGAAAGACTTCATCTTTTAAATTTTCTTCCCCATACTATAACCATCCCATGTTACTACCCAAATAAAAATAAATCATAGTGCAGAAATGTTTATTTCTTACTTCAAAGGGGAGCTCCGTTAACTCTAGATTTCCAGACAAATCCAGTTTCTCCAGCTTTTCACAATCTCCCAGTTCTGGAGGAACGCTTTCCAGATGGTTGAAACTCACATTGAGTTCTTTCAGGTTCTTCAAACGACCTGTCATCAGAAGAAGTTAACATCCACTGAGTAGGCCCTTTAAGGTCTTTTAAGAACAGAAAACACACTTAGATGTAAAACACTTGCATAAATAATGATGTGGAAGGCACTACACATTTTGCACTTGTTTTTTAAGCATTCTTCATTAACTGTCTACTCATCTTTTATCCTGAAGATTCTAGCCCCTGATCATAGCATCTTTTGCTTACTCTTTAATTGTTTAATCCTTTATGAAACCATAGTGCAGGGAATCTGTCCTCCAAGTACATGGGTCAGGTCCCTGCACCCACAGAATGCAAGCCCCTCATAAATTACCTGAGTTAAATAACAGGCAGTGGCTTTGAAGAGTGGTACATCTCCTAGAAAATATTGTGACCAGCTGTAGTCTACTGGTGAACTCTAGTAAGGAAATATGCACTAAGCTCTATGTATGTGGCAAATGATTCAAACAAATAGAATGTTTACAGATGGCATGCAATTCACCATTTATCTTTGGCTTCACACTTGCATTGATTTAATTATGACATACCATGCTTCATAAAGAATATGCTGTAAGTCCCTTTCATAGGCAGGAAGTGAACAAACTAAGAATAATGGGCAATAATTGGATTCATTAAAAAATGTTATTCTGATCAAAGATTCTATAGAAGAATCCTAATCAAAAGAGGGGAAATGCAGCACAGAATTTCCAATTCTCATGGACTCCAGACTTTCTGGAGCCATGGAGGGTGAGTGAAACCCTGAAACTACTGCCCTGAGATAATCTTTAAACCTTAAACCAAAAATATCCCCTGAAGTCTTCTGAAAACCAAACAATAGTCTAGCTTAACTGGTAAAGAAGGTCTGCCTTGAGCATTACGCTCTTTTAAGAACAATCTATATGGGACCAAAATGAAAACAGCAACTCAAAAGATTAGATAGAAACCTTAGGGGGCAGTGAGTTTATGTTAATGGGGGAGGAACAACTCAGAAAAGGAGGGTGAGAATGGATGCATAACTTGAAGAATGTAATCAATGTCACTGAATTGTGCATGTAGAAACTGCTGAATTGTGTATATTCTCAGCAACAACAACAAAGTAAAGAAAAATTTTTTTTAATGTTGTTGATGTATGCCGTCTGACTTATAGTGACCCTATATGACAGAGCAGAACTATCCCTAAGCTAAAATTTTTACAGTAGCAGATTGCCAGGTCTTTCTCCCACAGAGCAGCTGGTGGGTTTGAACCTTCGACATTTTGGTTAGCGGCCAAGTGCTTAACCACTGCGCCACCAGAAGATTAGCATAAACAATGTGAATGTTCCATGTTTAGTCAACTTTTCAGACACAGTGAAGTAAATTTATTTATTAAAGAGTTACATGACCTAGTGGATGGAAGCATTTGCTTTAATACACTAGGGGATATTTATACTAATATACATGCATTTTACTATCATGAGGGGCTACAAAGATAAGTTAAAATAACTGAGGAGAAAGTTTTACACTAGCTTCTTCTTAAAGACAGTCAAAGAAAAAGTAATAGACTTTAGAAAGTCTACAGTAAACATAACATTTTAATAATTTATAGACATAAATTTTTTAAATTAAAATCAATGTTATCCTTACCACTCACATCCACAATGCCTAATCTCATTATATAAATATTAATTTTCCTTTTTCGATATCCTTGAGAAAATTTGACATTAGCATATTTTTATGCAAATAACATATGTCTTCTATGTTTCTTTGCCAACTGCGCCCTCCTCCCATGAGGTATTTTCGTGAGCACTGCTATGCCAATTTTTTTTTTACATGTTACTATTAAAAAAAACAGCATAGCACGCTTACGGTATTTGTGTAAAAATATGGTATTCATCTGAGAAGGGCTCAGTTTTCTCCCTCAGAGTTAATTTAGATCAAGAGCCCCAGCCAGAGGATGTGGGAGGGCATTAAACATAATTTAGCATTTATTTTTGAAGTACTCTATTAAGTATCTACTCCATCGTTTACTTATCCTGAACATTTTCGGCCTTCTCTAAGCAGGTTATAGCACTCCCGCTCTCCCTCCCACCCTCCACCCCAGCCCCCAGTCCCTTCTCCCATTCAGGGGACAGGGGGCACTTTGCTGACAGACCCAGGACGAGACATGAAGCGCTCTGGTTGAAATCAGCTCCCAGCTTCCTGCCCAAGTAAGGTCATCCTTGTCAGCACCTGCCCTGGTAAACAGGGCTTTGAAAAACAAAAAGGAATCTGTTCCTCCTCACAGAAATAAGCAGATTTAGGAAGTCCCCCTGTTATTCACTGAGCCTTATCTTCAGCCGGGAACCACCAGCCCAGCCTGGCCGTATGTAACTCTTTCCTCAGGATAAGCATTTCAGCGGGGCCATTTCCTTTCTTGCCATTCACTTCATTTCTAATCTGGACATTTTTCCCCTACTTATTTATAGTAGAAGTAAAAAGTAGAGTGCAGTATCACTTCTTAGAAAACATACTTAGTTATTAAAATTATCTACACTTAGGTTTCAAAACACTATTGATAGTCAAGGCTAACACTTCACAAATGCACGGCGCAGTATAGATTACAAGGTGCTTTCAAGGACACTGTCTCATTTTGATTAAGACCTTCACAAACCTGCCTGTGTGGCAGTGTGGACATGGCCATGGTGTTCTGGGCCCTGCGGGCAGAGTCCCCTGGAGATTTTGTCACTTATCCAGAGTCACATAGCTGCCAGCGGCACAGCCCTGCTCCTAACCACTCCCCCAGCCTCCCTGATGAGGTAGAGCCCACCTCCTACAGGCTCACAGCACTCCAAGCACCGTCCCTTTACAGCTCTTGACACAGTGGCCGTTTTTTATCTTTTTTGATGACACTTTGACTAATGTCTGTCTCTCCCAGCAGATGTAAACCCCATGAGAGCAGGAAGCATTGTGTTTTGCTCACCATTTTCTTCCCAGGGCCTGGTACAGTGCCTGGCACAGAGCAAGTACTCAAATATTTGTTTATTGTCTGCACACAGTAAGTGCTCAATAAATGGGCTTAAATGTATGGGTTTATAGATAACTACTGGGTAACAAAAAACAAAACCTATTGCTGTTGAGTTGATTCTGATTCATAGCAACCCTATAGAACAGCGTAGAACTGCCCCATAGGGTTTCCAAGGAATGGCTGGTGGACCTTTTGGTTAGCAGCTAAGCTCTTAACCACTGCGCCACCAGGGCTTCTGGATAACTATATGGATAAACTAACTCTGATGAGCCTGCCCAAAGAGGGCACAGTGATATGCGACTGCAGATAACTTTGAAAATATGACACAGTGAAGAAGATGAGAGCAAATGACAGCCCTATGAGCAGAGTAGGGAGCTGTGGGGCAAACAAATGGACTTTGCGCAGAAAAAAACAAGAACCAGGCAAAGTAGGGGGTGCAGAATTTAGGAATGTGGGTAAAAATAAAATTAATGGCAGGTTTGAGGGTCCATTTTCAAGATTTCTAAGTCTTTATCTAAAGAGACAAAGCAACAACTGGGTTCTCACTATAATCACATAAGCAAAAGATGTAACTGCTAGATCAACCCCTTCTCACTAGTGCAGGAATGAGGATAAGACAGGGAGTCTCATGAGCTCTCAATGATGACACCTTGACCCACTGAGGGTCAGCTGTGATTGGGCCCCAAGGAATGGGTTAATAACGTGAAATGAGTTACTTTTAAAAAAAAAAAAAAAGTGAATTCAAGGTTATCCTTATGATGACACTATTTCTGAAGTCAGCATCCTGAGCCTGAGGTTCTGTACAGAACAGTTTTCAGTGTGACTACGGTCCAACCTCAGAGAAACTAAAACCCCTAAGGCATCATAGGTCCAACATGTCATTCTTTTAAATAACTAGTCCATTCCTTTTTTAATGTGTCAGGATCTTTTCCAAATGAAATAAAAGCTTCCTACTTACTACCTATTCTTCCAGGGCCTTCAGACCTAATTTCCAGTGAAGGGAATATAAACCAATTAGGCATAATTAATTGTCTGTAAAGTCTTCTTGCTTCTAGAGCCCAAGGAACAGCTTAAGCAATTACCATACTTTAAAATATTTGGATTTTTTTTTCTAATCACTTCAATAATTAGTCCATATAATGATAATTCCTCGGAAGTTCCCAAAGGAGCTGAGAGGACCACTCATTGCTATTCTTAACGACTTAATATCAAATGTTAAAAAATAATTGTCCTGACAAAAATATAGAGATTAGAGTTTAATAGCGGTTACTAGGCGTGGGAGGGCCTGGGCTAAGGAAGGAATCATTGTTTAGGCAGCAGGGAGTTTTTGTGGATGGAAAATTTAGCAGCGTAAACTGGTGATGATCACACATGATTGATGTAATTGGTTTCACTGATCTGTACACATGAAAAATGTTGAAATGGCAAATGTTGTGTTCTCTACATTCTTAAAACAATAAAAAAATTAAAATGTTACAAAAAAAAATTGTCCTGAAAATGAGGAAAACAATATCTGTTGATCACCCTTCCCTAATTCCCCCTTTCCTCCCCTCCACCAGTCCTCAATAGTTCTGTAAGACAATACTGTAAGAGACCAAACCCAATCTCCTTTACAAAATACAGGGTACGTTCCTTAAACACTATAGCTAAATGGTAAAAGAAAAAAATAAATAAAAGTCAGCCGCAGGGTCTATCTGGTAGTCAAGCTAAAATGAGAAACATGGGAACGGCCAAAAGGAGTTGAGCTCTCTTATGCTGAACAGCTGTATTCTGTAAAGGAATTGGGTTGAATCTCTTAACGTGTTGTCTTAAGCAAAAATTCGTTCCTAAACACAGCATCCCTCAGTCATGAGAGTTCCAAGTTTCTGAGCAACTGGCAAATGTCCACATGTGTTGAGTTATGCAGGTGGGCTCATGGGATCGAGGCATCACCAGCAAAGGAGACCCTGCAAATGAGCAGCTCTGGGAACATGTGAAACAGCTCTGCCCAGCAACTTCCTGGGGCGGTAGAACGAAGAAATCATTCACACAGTGTCGCCAGCCAAATAGCTGTCTGCTTACCACAGACTAAAGGCTGGAAGATTCCTGCTAAGCAACGTACCAATTTCTGCTGGAAGACACGAGATTTGGTTTTTTTGCAAGTCCAGAATTCTCATCTCTTGAAACAGCTCAATATAGGTAGGAATGATTTGAATCAGGGTATTGTTGATACGCCATTCTTTCAGGTGGGTCTGCTCCTTCAACGAATCTGGGAGCTCCTAAAACAGAAATTAAATTACATCAGTCAGAACTAGTCCCTCACTACGTCAGAGCTGAGGGGCAGGGCGCACACAGCCAAGCCACACAGAGCATTTATTAAACCGACAAGTGAGAGCAAGTGTATAAGAGCAGATTTCACAGCCAGCTCTACAAGCCATTCTTAAAAGAAAGCAAAGACCCCACCAAAACCCATTGCCGTCAAGTCAATTCCGACTCACAGCAACCCTATAGGACAGAGAAGAACTGCCCCATAGGGTTTCCAAGGAGCAGCTAGTGGATTTGAACTGCCGACCTTTTGGCATCACCAGGGCTCCAAAGACCCCACAGTTGTCATTAATTTCAGAATGGCAGATAGCTTAATTTCAAAACTGCCATGAATTACTAATTTGATAACTAAAATCAAATGCCTGTTGGACACAATCGGGCTCACACCTATAGCCACAACACATATTATTTATTTATAACATACCAATTTATTATCTTCTAAAAAAAAAGAAAATCTTCCCATATGTTAGATTTTAAAATTTGGGCTGTATTTCCCTTACTCTGAGGTTATTTTTAGAAATATTTGATATGCATTTAATAGTTGCTATGCCAAATTTCCAAATGTTTTTATGAGTTTATTATAAGGAATAAAAAAGTGGTACAACGGTTAAGTGCTCAGCTGCTAACTGAAAGGTTGGTGGTTCCAACTCACCCAGTGGCTCCATGGGAAGAAGACTTGGTGATCTACTTCCATAAAGATCACAGCCTAGAAAACCCTATGGGGCAGTCCTGCTCCATCACATGAGGTCACTGTGAGTCAGAATCAACTCCATGGCACCGAACAAGAGAAACTAGAGCAAAGAAATTCTACGATGATGAAATTGGGTCACAGAGGGATCAAGAGAAGAAGGGGGAGAATAGGGATTTTAAAGAGACTGTACAGTCCTTTAAAGAGATCAAACCAGGGTCCAGAGCCTGGGGGGCCCCTGGCTCACAACAAAGGTGACACCCCTCTCCCCACATCCAGCACTGCAGCTGCAGAGCACGGCCCAGCAGCAGCCCTAAGGACCAAAAACAGATCTCTTTCCTCTCAGTCCCCAAGAAGCTCCACAGCCCCATCCAACTCTGGATGACATTTTCTGCAAGGGCTGGGCATGCTGCCTGTGTGATGTTAGAGGCCAGAACTTCCTTCTGCCACCAAGCCTTCTAAGATGGTGAAAATCCCTTAACAGAGCTGCTCACTCCTTAATTAGAGGTAAGGTTGAAACACCAGTCTCTCTGGGAGAGAACAGTTACAGAAGTTCACACTAGACAATGCCAGAGGCCCCAGAGCCTTCCCTCTACTGGGTTCCATCAGGATAAGGTACCCAGGTTAGGGAACTGAGCGGGGAGGGCGGGGGGAGACAATAGGGTGCCAGTAATGAAGACCTGGTTGCACAGTTCACAATGGGGTCTCCCACCAGCCCGCTGAATCACAACCATCTCTCTATCCTCCCCCCCCTTACCATACTAACCAAAAAAAAAAAGTTGCCACAGAGTCGATTCCAACTCTTGAGGACCCCATGTGTGTCAAAGTATAAATGTACTCCATAGCGTTTTCAATGGCTGATTTTTCAGAAGTAGATCGCCAGGCCTTTCTTCGGAGAAGCCTATGGAGGACTCAAACCTCCAACATTTCCAGCAGCAGCCAAACACACTAATCATTTGCACCATGCAGGGACTCCACCTTGCTGTGCTAGACATTCATGAAATGTGCTTTGAAGTAATGGTTTTCAGAATGAAGTTCGTGAGCCAAGAGGACTCCTTACAGTTTCTCCGGGTAGACTGGAGGGTAAGTGCTTGGCCCAAGACCATCTTCGATGATGGCGTATGAGAATGATTTACCAACAGCATTTAATTAAAAATCCAGAAATGCCCTGCTTCTTACCCCAGAATAGACAGTGTCCAAGTATCCGCTGATCTCCATGATGGGGCTGCAAGCGAGAGTATATCAGAGGCTTTACAGTAATAACCTCACACGTTTGTAGAGGACTGTGTACCTAACGAGTGTCACAGAACATCCTCGCATTTAATCCCCAGGAGCCCTCAGAGGTGGTCAGGGCAAGCATTAGCACCATTTTCCTGATAAGGATAATGAAACCAAGAAAAGGGAAGTGATTCAGGTCACATGGCTAATAAACTACAGCCTCAGAATCATCCCAAATGTTTAGTCTGCCTGTCCAGAGTCCTTTCAGTCACAAAAACCAAAACCATTGCTGTCGAGTTAATTTTAACTCATAGAGACCCTATAAGACAGAGTAAAACTGCCCCATAGGTTTTCCAAGGAGCAGCTGGTGGATTCGAACTGCCGACCTTTTGGTTAGCAGCCGAACTCTTAACCACTGTGCCACCAGGACTCCTTCAGTCACAGCGTGGCAGGGTAACAAGGGATGGAGGGCAGGTGCCGAGAACCTCAGTCTCCGGCCGAAGATCATTTGCCATTGGCAGGTTCCCCAGATCAAGCTGACTTATCCTGCACCCCTAGCTGCTGCTTCAACCGGAAAATGTCAGGCTTAACATGGAAAAAGTGATTTCAGATTATAGACAACCCCTGGAGACATCTCTCCAAGCAAATCAGCAAGTGGTGGGGTGGGGGAGGACCGGGAGCAGGACGCCGCCAGTAAACACCTAAGGAAAGAAATGGGGCGGGGGGTGGGGGGGGAGGAAGGGGCGTCTTTGTCCTGAAGGCAAAATTCCTACAGCACTGTGACGAGCCAGCAAAGGCATCGCCCACTGAGGGGAGTTATATAAGTGAAAGGCTCAGTTCATTAAAAAAAAAAAAAAAAAGGCAAAGGGTTATTTTAGATGTCAAGGGAAAAAACAGTGGAACTAAGCATGTTACAGGCTGTGTGTGCATGTGGCGGAGGGCCGATGGGGTCCCAGCTCCTCAGCTTCCGAAGGATCCAAGTGGAGCCCGCTGCTTTTTCCGTGGCGACACTGCGATTCACGGAGACGAGAACACGAGAGCGCGCCCTAAAGCAGGGAGTGGGCTCCGAAGGCAAAGGCATTCTTTCCGCAGAGGCCAATGCCTAGGGTTCCCGTCAGCGGCGGACATCTGCCGCAGCACTGCACCTCGCGTCCACTTACTGCAGATGGCGACACACCTCGACTTACCTGCCACTGCTCCCCGGAAAGTTCAAACACAAACGGACTCTTCCTTTTGTCTCTCTCCTTGGAAAGCAAACTCTGCCTGGCGAGAGAATTCTGTTCGATCTTTTCCAGAAGCCTCACGCTGTTGTCTACGAAACAGCTCTTGCGGTACACGGCGTGGGGGATGCCTTTCCTCCTGCACTCGACCAAGAAGTTCCACTCTTCCTTTATCCTAAACGGGCAGCAGAGGCAGCAGTTAACTCTCGCGCGGGAAATCGTCTTCACCGGCCAAAAGCAGCAAACGAGGCCCCTAGGGCGCAGACGCTGTCTTCCTCATCGTAGAGCACAATTTCCCCGGGATAAACTGTTGGCTTTCCACTACTAACCTAAAGGTTCGCGGTTCAAACCCACCCGCCAGCGCCATGGAAGAAGGGCCTGGCCAAGAAAAACCATAGTTCTACTCTGTAACACATGGGGTCGCCACGAGTCCCAATCAACTCACAGCAACTGGTTTGGTCTTTTTACTGTTAGGGCAATTGAGTGCTCCTTCTGGGCAACAGTGTGAGGGTTCTAAAGTTCAACCTGGCATGTGTCACAAACAGTGAGAAGTCCCCGAGGAGAGGTAGCCTCCTCCATAACACAGCTGCCCTCACTCAAGTCCCTAGTCACTAAATAAGCTACAAGACTAATTACAGAAAACACGTACTTTTCCAATGCACTTTGCTGAAGCCTTTCCTCCTCCTTCTTCTGCCAAGCTTTGTGCTTCCTGACACGAGTTTCCCATAAGGATCTGATGACAGAAACGTCAAATACGACCACTTCATGTCCCATTTTGGGAGCATGGAATTACCTGTTTAAAAATATATATGTACATGTCAGCTTCATATACACACAGAAGAAAAGTTTTAACATGAACTTTGAAAGGAAACGTAAATGAATCAGTTTTCTTAAGGCTTGATGAAATGCCTTATCCCTTCCAGGCTGGTAACTTGCTAATGTTCTTAAAGTCTGACAATAATCTATGTTAATCATACTTCACACTCAGCCTGGGTCATCTCCTCCAGAATGTCACGTTTGTCTCCCCACCCTCAGCTGAACTTGGGGTTCCCAGAGCCTTATGAGCACCCCTCAAACTTCACAGTTCCACACTGTATTGAATTTACCAGTGTGTGCTTCTAATCTTCCCAGTAGCTTATAACTTACTCAAGGGTAAGTTTCATAAATTAATCGGAGCTCACACACACACACACACACACACACACACACACACATTCTCTCTCTCTCTTTCTAAATACTCATTGCTGTCGAGTCGATTTTGACTCATAGCAACACGCTAAACAGAATAGTAGAATATAACTTCTTAGTTCTTAGGCAATCAGTTGCTCCAACCTTTTGATGAGCAGCCAAGCACATAAACCATTTGCACCACCCAGTCCAGGGACATGTCTCCTGGATTTCCATGAACCCTCAGAGACTGCTGATCTCTGTTTACTTGGTTCTCCACGAGAAAGGAAAGTCAGGCCATCCCATCTTAGTGGGACCTTAGAAGTGATTTAGTCTCTACCCTCGGTTTCACCAAAGAAAACATGGGAAGCCCAGAAAAGTTTTGCCTGTATCCCTGGCATCTAGCACAGTGCCGGGTACCTAGTCAGCCCTCTGTAAATGTTTGTTGAATGAATAAGTGAGGGAATAAAAGATTTGCATGCAGATTGCTCGTCTCTCAGGCCACTCAATGAGCTTTCTCTCTTCTTTTTATTCTCCCACTTCATCTTTACTCTGTTTTAAGTGATCACTTGCTTACTGCAAAAAAAAAACTATTCGGATATAAAAGTACATTTCAATGTTTGTTCCACTATACTTATCTCCCTTATCTAAGTAAAACCATTTTCTAGATAATTGTTTTAAACTTTCCCTACCTGCAGCTTAGAAATCGGGCTAAACCATTTCCTGGTTTACAGAAACACATGGAGTGTGTTAGTTGGTAAATAGTACAACTGTTGAATATTTTCTTCTCCATTTCCAGACACTAAATTCGCTTCTAAACAGCAGTCAGTGGGGGTACGAAAACCAACTATTGAACCTTCTGACTCCTGTGTATGCTCTCCACAAATGGCTTGGCAATATGAGGGGGAGAACTGGATCAGGGGTGTGAAGCTGAACATTTGAAACCTGTCTATAATTTTAGTCAGAAGAGCTGGAAATGCTGGCTCCAATTTACTGCTCTCTTTCATTTTTGACGTCTGCCTTTCATCTGCCTTAAATCTCCTCCACCTAAAGTTGGTTTTGAGGATATGATAATCAGACGTTATGTCTTAGGGATTTGTTCTCTTTGCTTTTTATCCCCAACTGTTCTAATATCTCCAGAACTTTCTAAGGAAGAACAAGTATTTCCTTTTTATTAAAAGTGAAATGCAGGTTTCACCACAATAAAAAATAACTTAAAAAAAAGTGAAGTGCAGGACGCACCCACTCAGGGTTGTAAACCCACTTCAGGCACAGTGCTCAGGGCTCTGGGATTTTGCGCCATTGTTTACAATTTTAATTCGGGTTCAAGAAGGGGTCGAGCATTTGTCTTTTTTCTACACTCTACTTCATGGATATCATTTACTGATGTTTCTTTTGGGGCACACAACATCAGCGCGGTGTCACTCATTATCATTATGAGAGTGAGGATGATGGCAGCTGCCATTTAGGACTGCCCAGGATGCGCAGTTGTTAGTGCTCTCTGCTGCTAACCAAAAGGTCAGTGGTTCAAACCCACCAGCTGCTCTGCGGGAGAAAGATGTAGCAGTCTGCTTCTGTAAAGATTTGCAACCTTGGAAACCCTATGGGGCAGTTCTACTCTGCCCGAGGGGGTCACTATCGACTCAGCGGCACTGGGTTTTTGGCCATTTAGTAAGTGCCTACAACTCGGTGCCACTGATTCTAGTCTCTACCACAGCCTGGAAAGGTGGATGTTGCCATCTCTCTCTTCGGAGATTTTCCTCTTGAACCTCCCTGAGGCTGACAGAGCTTATGTAGCTAGCCCAAAGTCACACAGTTTATCTGCTCATCTGTTTCAAACTCTGTGCTGCCCCTGGTAATTAGTTTATTTATACAGCCTCTCTCTAAATACGTGAAATAATTTCACATACTCTATCCCAGTAAACAACACAACAGTGTAAGGAACAACTTCCTGCCACATCCCAGATTGCAGAGTGGAGAGTTGAAGTGGCCAAGTCTCCAAATGAGGGATACCAGCAGCTTAACTGCCTGCGCTCGAGGAGCGTTGGGTCATGTCCAGTCCACACAGGAAGGCAGGGATTCTCTCTATTCCAATCGCGTTTACTCTAAACCTCCCCTCAGCCACATCCCCTGATACACTTCTTCATTTGTGTTTTCATTAAAAAGTAGTAAAACTGACTTTTTTGTGGAGGAAGAGTGTACAAGTCTGAGTTTTAACATGTGGATAGATTGGTGTAACCACCACCACAATTAGGACATACCCAAAAAACTCTCACACTGCCCTTTGTACACACACCCTCACTCGCTCCCTAAGCCCTGGTAACAACCGCTCTGTTCTCTCCCCCTATAGATTTGTCATCTTGAGAATGTCATAAAAATGGTATTATACAGTATGTAGACCTTTGAGACTGCTTTCACTCAGGATGGAGCCCTGGTGGCGCAGTGGTTAAGAGCTTGGCTGCTAACCAAAAGGTGGGCAGTTTGAATCCACCAGCTGCTTCCTGGAAACTCTATGGGGCAGTTCTACTCTGTCACTATGAGTCAGAATCGACTCAACGGCAATGGGTTTGTTTTTTGGGTTGTTTTTCATTCAGGATAATGCTTTGAGATTCATCCAAGCTGTTGAATGTATCAGTAATTTATTTTTATTGGCTGAGTGGTATTCCATTGTGTGGATGTACAGTAATTTGTTTATTTAGTCTCCCATTGAAAGACATTTAGGTTGTTTCCAGGTTTTGACAATTATGAATATCACTGCTATAAAGATTCATGTACAAGCTCTATGTGAGCATATGTCTTCCTTTCTCTAAAGAGTGGGATTGCTGGTACATACGATAAGTTTAAGTTTAACTTTATAAGAAAATGCCGAAAAAACTGTTTTGCAGAGTGGCTGTATCATTCTGAATTCCTACCAGCAATATATGAGAGTTCCGGTTACTCTGCATACTTGTCAAGAGTTGGTTTTGTCAATATTTTTTATTTTAGTCATTCATGTCTCTTTACATAGTTTTTTTTTAAAATACAGCTTCCATAGGGATTACAACATACATAGTTAACTTTTCACAGTCTACTTAGAAATAAGATTTTATCACTTGCAAGTGAAACATAGAAACCTTACCACTATAAACCTGTTGTCAACGAGTCAATTCCGAGTCATAGCGACCTTACAGGACAGAGTAGAGCCACAGGATTTCCAAGGCTGTAAATCTTTACAGAAGCAGACTGCCACATCTTTCTCTCACAGAGCGGCTGGTGGGTTCCAAGCAGTGGGAAGGACTGCGCCACCAAGGCTCCTCCCTTACCACCACATACGTCATTTTATGCTCCCAATTTTATGTTGTGGTTGTCTCATGTCTGAAAGAGTAAGGTGTTTGCCCTTGGTTTCTGATAACCTCTAAAACCCTGGAATTTCCCAGTGACTGCAGTTTTTGTTATTCATGGAAAGACTCCAGACCACACCTATCTAGCAAGTTATGCTAATGAGGTGACTCTTGGGTAGGGGCTGGCCAAGCCAGAAAGACCCATACATAATGTCAGCCTGACCTCAGGGGAGGGGGCTAGAGGCTGGGTTCAACCACACGGACAATGATTCAGTCAATCATGCCTATGTAATGAGACCCCAGTATAAAAACTCTGGACACGAAAGCTCCATGAGCCTCCTGGTGGGTGACAGATATCAACACACAGGGGAGGGTAATATGTCCTTTGAGACATGGAAGCTAGCTTTGGGAACCCTCCCAGACTTCGTCCTGAGCATCTCTTCTTTTATGTCCTTTTGCTATAATAAAACTGTAATCATAAGTTTAGCTTTCTGTGAGTTCTGTAAGTTGTTCTAGCAAATTATTGAACCCAAGGGAGTAGTGGGAACCAGCAGGTCAGAAGTGAGGGGGGAGCGAGCCCTGGAGATCCCTGAGCTTATGGCTGGCATCCTGAGTGAGTAAAGGGAACCCACAAATTTGTAGCTAGTAGGGCAGAAGTGAGGGTGTCTTGGGGACACCCAAGCTTGTGGCTGGCATCTGAAGTCTTGGGCAGACTTGGAGGTCTAGAGGATTGAGCCCTTCAGCCTGTGAGATCTGACCTAGCTTCCCAGGGGTTAGGGTCAGAAGAACTGC